TGCCCCTCGCAGCGCGGGCACACGCAGCGCCCGGCCACGCACGCGCTGCCGAAGGAGCACACGCTGCCGCCGCAGGACTCTGCGGGACCACAGGGCGGAACCGCAGTGAGACCGCGCGCGGGCTCGCACGACCCACCTCCCTCCGGCCCCGGAGCTGCCGTTGCTTGTTTAAGCCTGCAAAGATTCTGCAAGGGACATACGAGAGTCCTGAGCATCTCCGAGTCCCCTCAGCACCCACTGGGTGTCGTGTCCAGCACCTTTTTAATGGGACAGCTGTAAGAAACCCCGTCCCTCTCACGGTGTTGTATCTCCAGCCTCATAATGCTGCTGGAGCAGTGGCAGTCACCATTACACTTGCTCATTTTTCTTTCCAAAATTTAGAGATCTCCATGTCCTGCTCACCCAATCCATCTGGACATGTTTTACATGGTCCAAAGCATTGCTTTTCCTAATGTATCATTTGTCCTAATGAAGGACTCGGGCAGGGCTTTTAATTCATTAGGAAATTAGCACAGGCAGGGGAGGAGGAAATGCATGAGCAGGCAGGGATTGATCCCAGGGGACAGAGAATCTACTGATACTTCCAGTTTTGGTGACAGCTGCTACCATGTTTTTAGCCCGATTGTTCTGGGGACATGGGACATGCTCTGCATCACCTCCTGGAAGGTCTGGCCACACTTTAACAAGCAAATGCAATAACAGAAGTGGCTAAAGATCATCTGGGCTCCGAAAAGCCACTGGAAGGAGCAAGCAGAGGGGACGAGGGGCCCGTGGCAGACTCACTGCAGTGTCCCGGGGCCGCCACGCGGATGGGGCTCTGCTGGGTGCACGCGCGGACGTGCAGCTCGCACTCGCTGCCGTACGTGACGCCGTCCGTGCCGCACACGGGCTGCGAGGACGCGACGCACTCCGTGGGGCACACGCAGCGCCCCGTCTCCGCCTCGCAGATGGCCCCGAACTGGCACTTGCCACAGCGATCTGCAAAAATAAGGGGAAATTAACGCAACATCCGAGCGTCACCTCCTTATGGAGTTTTCCTTATGGAAAATGCTGCCAAAGCGGCGGTAAAACCTCCTTGCAACCTCCGTCCCCGTGCTGAGCTCTGCATGGAGCAAGGAGCTCCAGCATGCAGGGGATGAAGGAGCAGAGGGGAGGTTCATAGGAGCAAAGAGGGACAGGCTTGGAGGCAGGGGGACAATAACTCCTTCTAAAAGCCATCGGGGCCAGGAGCAATTGCGATGAAATGGCATCATATACTGGTATAGCTAAGTGGGAAGCAGAGGAGAGCATGGGGTTAGCTGCATTTACAAGGAATATAAGGTGCAATGAACGCATCGGAGCTCGGGCAGCACTGTGACCCCGGGAGCTCTCTTCCCCTGACACACCAGCCATCCTAGGTAGATTTATAGCACGATCTGCTCCATTTCCAGGGTCCTGTCACCTCCCCCATGAAGATGTCCATCCTGCAAACAGCACAAGCCCCGGCTCGGGTCACGGAGGACATTTATCCTGGTAATAACTCACTAGCGTTTGTTGCCCAGATGCCACCAGCACATCTCCTCGCTGCCCATCCCCGGCTCTTTCGTAATTCACGGATTCATTTCCACTTCAGGCAAAGAGCCCCCTCCCCTTCCCTTGCCCTCCCTTTGATTCACAGGGAATTTGGCTCCGAGATGGATTTTCTCATTCCCTCCTTGCACGCGGCAGCTGCTGCCTTTGTGCAGCGAAGGAAGAGGCAGATTGGACTGTGCCGGCTATCGCCGAGGAGCTCCCTAATCCGAGCATCCGTGTTCCGCATCTGTGCAGGGCCAGGAGCAGCTCCTTCCTCCAGGCACCCAGCTGCACATAGCCTAGAGCTGAAGCACCATCTCCCCTTGCTGTTTTCCCTGGAGCTGCCTGGAATTCATACCAACATTTTCTTCCAATATGAAATCCTCGGGGCGCTCTGCTCTGCTGCAGCAAGAGGCTCCTGATGCTGCTGGTGCCTTTTCTTTTTGGCAGGATTTCCTTTCCTTTCCCCTTGCAGGGTTATGAACCTAAGGGGTCAGGCCCAGTTTTGGCCAGAGCATCCTTAGGCAACACCCACCCCAGACAGGGTGGAAAAACAGGCACCAGCTCTTGCTATGCAGCCTAAGGACTGGAAGAAAAATGACTTTATTTTGGCAAAACTGCAGCGGGCCAAGCCCCGGGCATCCCAGCAGATGCATTATAGGGAGAGCGCGGCCAGCTCGGGCTGTGCCTGTGTGCAAACACTAAATAGCAACACAGACTGGCAAAAACCAGGCAGATTGCAGATGGAAGAGCTGTGTGTGGGCCTGCCTGAGTCATATACGGATGGAGGAACCGGGAGATGAGGATGGGCACCACAGCACTGCTTGGGTGAGGGTTTTGGGTCTGCAAAGCTACCAGGCTGATTAAGGACACTGCAGGCAGCAGCGCCAGGGCTGGCTTGCAAGGGGATGCTGTTTACATCTATTTTATCCTAAGGTTTTCCACTTTCCTGATATTCTGTTGGCGAGGAAGGGAGGTTTCAGACCCATTCTCCTCTTCTCTCCCTATATCCCCATCCTCCTGGGCTCACTTTATTTGTAAGGTGATGGGTGGTAGGGAAA